TTACGTCATTGAAATATCTTCTTCTTTCTGAGTGTTTTTATGTGTGCTTCTTTTCGAGCCGATTGATTTTAAGATATTTTATAGAATGCATGTCATGTTTTTACACGTTTTCGGTGTATTTTCATAAAATAAATAATATTGCTCTACTTTGTATTGAGCACTCTTTTTAATTAAATGTTAGAATTGTGCTCTATTCGTTGACTGCTGACAAGTTGCTTTTCAGCTTGTCTCTGTATATCAGCCATGGGCGTCCTACATTCCTGTAGCACTGATCTAATTGGCTCTATATTAGGATCTTGGGTATCCTGTCATCGGACATTCTCAAGAGATTACCAGCACCATAACTGAGACTGTAGGAGAAAAGTCTCGATTCCTCCACTATTACACCTGTTAAACAGGATTATGTTAGATGTCCTATCTTGAAGCTTAACTCCACAGATTGCAAGCAGACAGATGTGTGGATAAGAACGAATCAAACTAAAACGCCAGAAAACTCACACAAGTGATTTGACTAAAGTGGTGAAGGCTTTTGCAGAACCATCCACACTTTTCGGAACTATTGATACACTCCAGTCGGTGCACATAAATGCCACAGAGAACAGACAATATATATATATATATATATATATATATATATATATATATATATATAAAAAGAAAAATTTTGAAAAAAAACAAAATCCTTAAATGTAGTTAAAATGAAAGAAATGTCGACGTCTGACGTTTCGGTTTAAACCGAAACGTCAGACGTCGACATTTATTTTCATTTTTAACAACATTTAAGGATTTTTTTGTTTTTCAAAATTTTTCTTCATTCTGTCGGATTTATATCCATTTACACTTGCTTATATATATATATATATATATATATATATATATATACAAACACTCACACATATATATATGCGTGTGTACTCTTGTTTTTACATTTCTTCACATGTTTTTAAATTCTTTTTTTGTTATTCGGGTTCTTCTGTCTTTCTCTTTATTTTTTGTGAAACTTTCGACTGTGATTCCATTCATCTTCTTGTTAAACACATTTCTTTTTAACATTATATATATATATATATATATATATATATATATATATATATATATATAAGGTCTTTTTAATTTTTTACAAGCTTTCGTCTGTTCCTGCAACTGGAATTTATAAACGGGGATCATATCATTCCTATACAGTTTCGGGGTTGATGTATCTTATTTATATTGTTTGCGACGAAGTATTCTCGCCATTTAATTCATTAACCTCCATATTTGTTTTTTGTATGAATGATTCATGAATTTATAAATTATATTTGCACCTTTTAATTGAAATTAAAATAACTGATCCAACGTGCAACTCTCGGATAATAAGTGTGACATTACTGTAATTATTGAACAATATAGTTCATGCCATATTCACGGAAAATCTACCAGTAAAAATGAATTCTCTTATTGCTATATTTGTACAAAAACGCAAACCTTAAAGTTTAAATTCAAACTCATAACATATTTCTCATACCATTTTTTCGGATTACATCTCTATTTTCGTTGTCCTCTTATTACTGAGAAGTACAAACAAGAACAAAATCTACTTCCATACCTGATGATGTCTGTAGGAACAGACGAAAGCTTGTAAAAAATTAAAAGGCCTTATGCAACTGGAATTTATAAACGGGGATCATATCATTCATATACAGGTTCGGGGTTGATGTATCTTATTTATATTGTTTGCGACGAAGTATTCTCGCCATTTAAATCATTAACCTCTATATTGTTTTTTGTATGAATGATTCATGAATTTATAAATTATATTTGCACCTTTTAATTGAAAAATATATATATATATATATATATATATATATATATATATATATTTGGTTGGATTGATGTGAGTTTTTGACTCTGCGTTTCACGCTTTTGCGATCGTCAGACAAACTGATTAATTTTTTTTTTTAAATTTGTGTTTATGTAGATTGCGTGTATTGGTGTTATTATGGGAGTCGGTGGGGGATGTTGAATCGTCGTCGTGATGTCATCGTGCTAACGCAAACATAGATGCATGTCCGTACATCAGATGAGGTACGCAGACACACATACACACTTGCATGTCCGTCGGGACTCATACATATATAAACATATGTGGACCGTTTCGGATTTGACATATGTATGTATATGGGTGGTGTTGTGTCTATACATACGCATTTGTATGTTGAAATTCAAAGATTGGAAGTGTAGCGAAAATTTCTCGTGAATGTCTCGTGAATGTATACATGTCAAAAATCAGAGTATTTTTCTATTTTTTCGCTGAATAAGATTTCTTCGCATGCACGTATATACGTGTGGTAGGGTCTGTGTAAAATTATGATAGGTAAAAATTATTATTATTATTTTTATTCTTAATTTTTTAAAAGTTTATTTGTTATTATTTTAAAGCTGGCTATTTGCTTGTTTTTGATGACTGTGTGTATGTGACTGGTAGAAATTTCGGTTTGTAATCCTTATTGGTTATTTTATTTGGTGGTTTTTAATATGCTCGGGGAGGGGGTAGTTTACGTTAATAATTATGACGGGTTTATTTGATAATAGTAGATGTGAAGTGGTAGTAATGTTGTAAGGGATTGGAGACAATGATAATATAAGTAGCTAATAGTTATTGTAAATTGGTAGAAGTGATTAGTAATAATTCCCTGTTTCCAAAGATAAAGTGAAATCCAATCATTCAGACAAGGGGTGGTAGCGTGTTCATTTTTATTAACTTTTGCTGTATCAGTTATTAGTTTTATTTATATTTATGTAAATACACAATTTACATACATATATATATATATATATATATATATATATATATATATATATATATATATATATATATATATATATAGCTGGGGAAAATGTATGGAAGATTTATGAAATATGTAAAGCAAGAAAGATGGGAAGAATGAAGTAAATAGAGAAGGGATGATAGAAAAATGAAAGAAAGGACGACAGAAAGAAAAAGAAAAATGAAAAGTAAAAGTAATAAAGCGAAATTATAGAAGAAAAAATAAGAAAAAAACAAGCAAAAGAAGTAACAAAAGAAAGCCAGGAAAATATAGCCAAACGGATGAAAACGGAGAAAACGAAGCGATGAGATGCTAGAAAGAAAGAAAGAAAGAAAGAAAGAAAGAAAGAAAGAAGGAAAAAGAAGACCAATAATCAGGTAGAAGAAAGAAAGAAACAAGCAAACAAAACAGAATTAAAGAAAAAACGAAAGAAAGAGAGAAAGAAACAACACAAAGACAATAATCATGACGAAAACAGAAAAAGACCAATAATCAGGTAGCAGATAGAAAGAAAGAAAGAAAGAAAGAAAGAAACGCTTTATACAAGTAAGAAAAAAGATCAATAATCAAGTAAAAGAAAGAAAGAAAGAAAGAAACGCTTTATACAAGTAAGAAAAAAGATCAATAATCAAGTAAAAGAAAGAAAGAAAGAAAGAAAAAAAGAAAGAAAGAAAAAAGAAAGAAAGAATTAAAATGAGGACAGAGAAAATCTCAAAGTCGATGGAAACAAAAAAAAAAGCTGACCAAGACATAGCATTTGTACGCATTAGTTGATACATCTTTCATTTGTTCTTGTCTTGACCGACCAGGCTGTTAGAAAAATAAATCACGTCTTTTTGCTTAGTTCATAACTCAATTCTCTCGAGTCGTTGTCAGTTGTCAGATCCGGCATGTCTGACCAAGACAGTTCATGACTCACAGGAAACGACTTGATATGTCGAACTGTGTTTGACAGCAGAATATAATTGATATCTTAAATATGGTATATTCAGGCGGCAAGAATTCATCCAAAGAAGTTTTCTTAAATTTAAATGACAATGTCTGCCTGTATATATTTTATTGTATTTTTCCGAATTTATAATAAAGCATATATCGAGATCAAAATTGTGGATAAACTGTCCAAAGTTCCTGTTTCATTCAAGTATATTCTAGCTTCTGGGTCATTTTCAAGGAATCGATGTTGCCAGAATGGTAGACAAGATTTTGCTGCTACAATCTCGCATTTTTAGAGCACACGAATTCAAATTCGTTCAAAGGCCAATTGGAGGCGGACAAATACTTAAATAATTTTCATTATAGTAATTTACTAAGCATATCTTAGATATGGCACAAGGCCGAGAGTATGGAGCAGCCATTGAGGATTGAGCTCACTATTCAGTGCTATTTGATCTAGCAAGAAAAGCTTGTTAACTATTACTCCAAGTAGAATTGTTCTAGTAATTTTGATTTTTTTTTATCAGTGAATATTAGGGATAAGATTTAGTGTGTTTCCTGTCGAATTTTCGCATCACTCTAATAACTTAATAATCCTTTTTATCAGGTCATGCGCCAAGTGGCACTGGTATCCTGTAACCTGGTACTACCTACTGTATGCTCACGTTATCGGCAACTAACTCGATTTCCCTATCAAGCTTTATCTGGTGTGGATGATAGCTATACACCCAGCATGATTAAAAAGGTCACATGAAAGGTTTGGGAGATTCAACGGCCAACAGAGTGGGTATCATGCGGCCAGTGATGTGATTACACGGCATTGCTGGACGGACGGATTCCTAGATTGAAGTCTGCGGTCAGAATGGAGGCTTCCCCGATGGAATAAACAGCCACGTGTCCTTGACCAAGGGGAAACTTCTAGTTGAAGACATCGGCAGTGGCCTGATCTGACAAAAAAAGACTCCGCCAGGTCTGCTTACTCAAAGCATGTTACGCATGAATTAATACCTCTCCCGCTTTCAACATAGATATGTGGGCGAACTGGCCAGGTGTTCAGTTGAGCAGTGGCACTACGAGCACTGACGAACATGGAACGTCTGATGATGATTATGATGATGCTTAGTCAGCGAAAAAAATACAATCATGGAGCACACAGTGCGGATTAAAATCACAAGTATAATAATTGGTTGTAACACTAACACACCGAGAAGCAACCATTGATCTTTACTCGAACTTGAATAGAAATTCATGAGGATTTGATTTGGTGCTGATTGTAGGTAACGAACTCGACACATAAAAACAAAACTCGAATGTTGATTTGGTTGATTTTCTTTAGCGGCATATCAATACCACTATGGGTCATTTAATGCCAAAATTTAAATATTTGGAACACAATTTCTTTGGCATCAACTAAATATATTTTGAAAGCACTTATATGCCTTCAGATACAGATGAATTGTATTGTTGGCCATTTTGCTCTAAAATGTCTTGTAGGTAACTCTACTATAAAAGGTACTGCTGGTGATTTTGCTTTAAAATGTATTATCTGTCATTTTACTATAAATAAGTGTAGTTAGTAATTCTATTATAAATATGTATTTTTATACTTTCAGAGTCAACTCGAATGTATTTACTTGTACAACTGCTCATAAATGGTACATAAAAAGTATCACAAGGCGAAATAGATTTGGAAGACGATCTTTTAAGTAACGGGGCAATTATTATTTCCATCGAGGAAACATTCTAAATTCATTAATCGAACAGTCAGTATTACTCTCTGTTTGTTTAGAAATATCATCAATCATCTCAGTGAAAAAATGTTATTTGTATTAATCCTGAATAAATATTTATAAATATTTATCTATGAAAAAATATAGTTTTAAGGCCGGATATATTTGGGTTAAAGTGTTCAATATCAGGGATAGAGCAAATATGTAAATATAAGAGTGTCCAGTGAAGTCGACACACAGCTGTAACAGACTGTTCCCGTTGACTTTAATGTCCAATTTTATATTTAAATATTTATTTATAATTCATTTTTAAAAAGTTTAAAAGTTAATTCTCTTAAAGTTCACTATTATCGCTCTTTTTTAAGACTGACGACATTTTCCTTCCAAACTTTTTATTTAAGATTGTATGGAAAGATAACATCTTGGTTATATCATTATCTATCTTCTAGTTACACTTCCCCCCACACACTTTTAGTGTTTTGAAAGTCTTCAAATGATGGTTATTTGGTCAATCTCTTTGCTTAAGGTTTTGTTGCGCCAGCTTATACAATCTGATGAGGGATTGTCTTCATTCGCTTGAAGCTATTTTGATAATTGACCTGAGAAAGCTTTTGTATATAGATCAAGGTAAAGGTCCTCCTTAACACTTTGGCGGCATGCGTGCCATCCTCATGTATGTTGGTGCCTAATCATTACTTAGATGTAATTGGCGGAAGGTAATCGGTGAAATTATTTTAGCGGAGGGCGTCTACATGAGCGAATGAATGTGCAAGACAATCCTACAAACCATAGCTCTAGGGTAGGCGTCTTCTTCGAATACATAACGAGACGAAAGCTTTTGGATTATCACTCTTTTTTTTGGGGGGGGGGGAATGTTCAATCTTTGCTTTGCTTTCTAGACTGATATTAGAGTTCTGATCAAAAGATAAGCGCTGAGTTTTTTGTTTATTTCAATGTTTATCAGCGTTGCTATACGACTTTATTTGATTAAATTGTTTTCAAATCTCGCTTGTTTTGATATTTTAAAAACGAAATATCGTCGTTTTTTTTTTCTTCTCCCAAGACCGTCGTTCGAAAACATGAAAAGCATTTCGGTGAAGTAACAACAAAAAAGAATTCTTTATTCTTTGAAATAAATGATAATAATAAAAACTGTAGTTAGGAATTTGGAAATAAAAAACAAAAGAAAAGATGATACGATGAAACAAAAATTGTAAAAATGAAAAAAAAAATTAAGCAAATATCAAAATCGGTGCCCGGATGTACAATAAGAATGCGAGAAGCAGAAAAAGGTCATTACGCGATAAACATGGTGATGGTTATTTGGGGGTAATGGTTAGTGACTTCATCTTGTTGGTCATTTATATTCTAGACTTCTTTCGATCAACATTGGATACTGATAAGCTGATTCTTATAATTAACTACTGTGGGAATATCTTGTTTCGAAATTTGACGACAGTTTAACTGTTAACTAATCTACGTTACATCATATTTTGTATTTATTTCTCAATTCCTTCTACGTCATCCAACAAAATCTAATTTACCAAAGCTTCTGAGTGACTCTTTGATTCTGCAGGGTGAACATAGAAAATACATCCTTCTTCGTTTTCAACGACAAAGAATTCCTGTTGCATGGAAGATATTCAGTCTTCGACTTCAAATATTTTACTCTTATTTTTGTTTTAGAGTTCCTTTACGTTTCTTTTTTTTTGTTTCATTCATTCATTTTTACTCTTATTACAACATTTTGATGGCGATATTTTTTTCTCCGATGCTTTTCTTCTTGTCGTCTTTTACGCTGTTTTATTCCTTTTATTGTTTTCCTTCATCTTTTCATTCATATTTTCATTCATCTTTATTCATATTCTCCTTGATCTTTTCTTTCGTCGTCTCCTTCATGTTTTCATTCATCTTTTCCTTCATCTTTCCTTCATCTTTTCCTTCATCATTCTTTCATTTTTTTCATTCATCCTTTCCTTCATCTTTTCATTCATTTTTACCTTCATCTTTACCTTCATCTTTCATTCATATTTTTTTGATCGTTTCCTTGATCTTTTCATTCATCTTTCCCTTCATGTTTTCATTCATCATTTCTTTCATCTTTTCATTCATTCTTCCCTTCATCTTTTCCTTCATCTTTCATTTATCTTTCCCTTCATGTTTTCCTTCACCTTTCCTTCATATTTTCCTTCATCTTTTCCTTCATCTTTTCATTCATCTTTTCATTCATCTTTTCCTCTATCTTTTCCTTCATCATTCTTTCATTTTTCATGTACTTTTTATTCATCTTCTCCTTCATCTTTTCATTCATCTTTTCATTCATCTTTCATTCATATTTTCCTAGATCTTTTCCTTGATGTTTTCATTCATCTTTCTCGTCATGTTTTGATTCAATTTTTCCTTCAACTTTTCCGTCATTTTTTCATTCATCTTTGCTTTCATCTTTTCCTTCATTTTTCATTCATATTTTCCATCATTCTTTCATTCATCCTTTCTTTCATCTTTTCATAAATCTTTTCTTTCACCTTTCATTCATATTTTTTCTTGATCTTTTCCTTCATGTTTTTATTCATCTTTTCCTTCATCTTTTCTTTTATTTTTTCCTTCATCTTTCTTCCATATTTTTATTTAGCTTTTTATTCATCTTTCCCTTCATGTTTTCATTCAGCTTTTCCATTATCTTTCCTTCATCTTTTCCTCTATATTTCTTTCAGTTTTTCATTCATCTTTTCATTCATCTTTTCTTTCATGTTTTCATTTATCTTTCCCTTCATGCTTTCATTCATTTTATGCTTCATCTTTCCTTCATTTTTTCATTCATCCTTTCCTTCATCTTTTCATTCATCTTTTCCTTCAGCGTTCATTCATATTTTCCTTTATCTTTCCTTTCATCTTTTCATTCATTTTCCTTGCATGTTTTCGTTCGTTTTTCTTCGTCGTATTCTTCATCTTTTTATTAATCTTTTCAGTCATCTTTTTCTCTTAATTAACCTGGCTTTCGATTTTTTTTTTAATTTCTTTCTTCATTCTCTTCGTCATCTCGTCTCCCTTCTTATTTTCTTCTTCACCAATTTTTCTCATTTTCTTTATTCTTCTTGTTATGCTTTTTATCATATTTTCCTAGTGAACTTCTTCACAATATTCTTAACTTCTTCCTCTTCTCTTCTTACTTTTCATCTTCTTTTTTACTTTCTTTATTTCATTTATTTATACGTTCTTTTTTGTTTTCCTTGTTTTTCATTTTAGTATCTCTCTTCTCTTGCTGTTTTATATTATTTCTTTATTGTTTTTTGTTCTTTGTTTTATCGACCACTTTATATTATTTTTATCACCTCTTTTTATCCCCTTATAGTATTTTTCATTTTTCTTTTTCTATTTCTTTCTTTATTTCTTCTTTTTACTAGACATATTTACAGTCGTCGTCTTCTTCTTAGTCATCTTATTTTTTGCTTATCTCTTTTTTCTTAGTTTCTTCTTACCAACTTTTCTTTCTCGACTTCCCTATCTTTCTCATTTCGTCTCGTTTCTTCTTCTTCTTCTTTTTCTTCTTTTTCTTCTTCTTCTTCTTCTTCTTCTTCTTCTTCTTCTCTCACTTTTTTCTCGTATTGTTTGGCATTCCTTCATTTTCTCTTTCTCCCTTCATTTTTTTTCTTCTATCCCCTTCTTTATACTCGATTCTTTATACTTTCCGTTTCCTATTCTTCTTCTTCTTCTTCTTCTTCTTCTTCTTCTTCTTCTTCTACTACATTTATTTCTTATTCCTTCTCCTTTCACGACCTTTTCTTATCTTCTGGCTTTGTTTGCTTCGCCATCTTTCTCTGCGTCTATTCTTTGCTTTTTTTTCTTTCAATCTTTTTCTATTTCAACTTCTTTATCTTTTCTTCTTCCAATTGTTCCTCTTTCTCTCCCCCTCCTTTCACATATTTCAACTTCTTTATCTTTTTCTTCTTCCAATTGTTCCTCTTTCTCTCCCCCTCCTTTCACATATTTCAACTTCTTTATCTTTTTCTTCTTCCAATTGTTCCTCTTTCTCTCCCCCTCCTTTCACATATTTCAACTTCTTTATCTTTTCTTCTTCCAATTGTTCCTCTTTCTCTCCCCTCTTTCACATATTTCAACTTCTTTATCTTTTTCTTCTTCCAATTGTTCCTCTTTCTCTCCCCCTCCTTTCAAATATTTCAACTTCTTTATCTTTTTCTTCTTCCAATTGTTCCTCTTTCTCTCCCCCTCCTTTCACATATTTCTTCTTTATCTTTTTTTATCTCTTTTTCTTCTTCCAAATATTTCCTTCTTTTCTTTTCTTCTTCCCCTCTTTTCACATATTTCAACTTCTTTATCTTTTTTTTTCTTCCAATTGTTCCTCTTTTCTCTTCCCCCCTCTTTCACATATTTCAACTTCTTTATCTTTTTTCTTCTTCCAATTGTTCCTCTTTCTCTCCCCCTCTTTCACATATTTCAACTTCTTTTATTTTTTCTTCTTCCAATTGTTCCTCTTTCTCTCCCCCTCCTTTCAAATATTTCAACTTCTTTATCTTTTTCTTCTTCCAATTGTTCCTCTTTCTCTCCCCCTCCTTTCACATATTTCAACTTCTTTATCTTTTTCTTCTTCCAATTGTTCCTCTTTCTCTCCCCCTCTTTCACATATTTCAACTTCTTTATCTTTTTCTTCTTCCAATTGTTCCTCTTTCTCTCCCCCTCCTTTCACATATTTCAACTTCTTTATCTTTTTCTTCTTCCAATTGTTCCTCTTTCTCTCCCCCTCTTTCACATATTTCGCACGCCGCTCTGTATTCACGCAGACCCCATTTGCCACCTGCCCATATTGCGACATTTTCCTTTCATTTCACTTTTTGTAATTAAAATATTTTTCTAATTATTCCATTTTTCTAATTACTCCACTGTTGTTCACCACCAACAGATATATTTTTTTTTTCAAATTCTTTAATCAATCCATTAAAACGTTATCCGAAATCGACAAACTTCCAATGCTTCAACTACGTTTACAGCCATGACCTTTCTCTGACCTTTACCAAAAATACTGGCGAGATCAAATATTGATCCACCGACTGGGAAGGACTGGGCACAGGCAACATGTTCCTCGTTAAGGGAATGAGTACAATCTAGATTGAAATTCATTAATATATTTGACTTGACGAACCTTCTCAAAATGGCTATTAAAATGGATACATAAACATACATATATACAACACACACACACACACACACACACACATATATATATATATATATATATATATATATATATATATATATGTATATCATTAATTTGTGAGTGGTAGGGAGAATTACAAGGAGGATATTAATCCAGGAGAGCTCAATGTAAGCCACAGAGCATAATAATAATAATAATAATAATAATAATAATAATAATAATAATAATAATAAAGAAGAAAATCTTATCATCTCTACATACGAAATCATCTAATAAAATATTTCGGTTTGAAGAGATGAATACATAGATATTTACGAAATAAATTATAACAGTAATGGATCTTTAAGATTATCTTCTTGATGATTATATATATATATATATATGTGTGTGTGTGTGTGTGTGTGAGTGTGTGTGTGTGTATTTAGGAAGCAATACATGTTCATGCACATTCCCTTGAAAACTACAAACAAGGTGCTTTTATTTAGTTTTTTATAAAATTTCTCATGCGATCTAATTTTTTTTTTCTTTTCGGATGATAAATTATATAAAAATTGTCCGAATGTTCTTTTTATCCGAGGGCTTTCGGCTATCCATTTAGCCATTTTCAAGGATTATATTTTAACTGTTAAAATAAGAAATAGTTTGTTGTATGTATGTTTTATGTTTTCATTTTTCCAAACACGGTTAAAAAATATAAAAAAATAAATAAAAAAATAATATAAATAAATATAAAAAAGTATAAAAAATACTAAATAAATCACTTTGTCTGTCCTTTCCAATGAAAAATATATATATATATGATGTACTCTCCCGTCGATTTCAACGTATGACGATCCGACAATATCATTCAGTTTTATGTTTATGTCGTATGTGAAAATTCAGTCCCGCTAGTGTTTTGCATGCAATTCCACATATTGTGCAAGAGCGATTGCGATTGATTTTAAAATGTCTGATACCACTTTGGCACCAATATTTACAGTTATTTCTATCTTGGCCAACTCACTCGAAGTTAGTACGTTGCACATTGACAGCTGAGAGGTTACTCTTTAAACTTGTCTTTATACCTGAACCACTGTCAATCTGGCTATATATGAGGACTTTCGGTATTATGTCGTCACACATCCTTGCAACATTACCAACTCAGCGAAGTTGTTTCTACAACAGGAAGGTCTCAATTCCACCATTATTGCATTTTGCGACAAAATCGGAATTGGAATTTCCATTGTCAAAACTATACCTACAGATCGTGAACTGTATTGTGAGTATAATTTTATTATCTGTTTAAAGTATGGGCTACCAGGAATCCCTTCAATGAATCTATTGGAAAATTTTTCAATCAATCTTGGGACTCCAACTACAACGGGAATTATTGATGTCCACATGTACCAGATTTTTGAGGTTCCCATTTCAACATCTTTGTATTTTGACATTTTTTGGAACGATCTGAAGATCGTTCAAAAACATACATTACAACCTGCACGCTCTGCCATGTCAATAATAAAAGCACATTTTTTTTTATTTGTTGTCTTTCATCACGATATCTGGGTGATTAACTTTGATTATTCTGTCTATGTGCATTGTAAAGTCCTATAAAATTCTTACAGGTTCTATCTCTTTAACCAAGGTTGGGTGATGTTCATACAATTTTCTAGCAGTTTTCTACCCGTAACACTTTGCATGATAAAGTGGGCCAATATTTGCATTGGAACATATGCATTGTTTTATATTCTGTGTAACCTGATGCAGGGTGGGCATTTTTGTCTTGAATAGTTATCACATAATTTGCATTTTGGATCACAGTTTTTCAGTATGCGTGCTTGGTAATTTCTTGTTAGCAAGCATTTGTTCTGTGCAGCAAGAATAAAACCTTCGGCTTCAGCTTTTAACCCTGCACTACGTAAACACTGGTACGTGCGATGATTGTTACATCAGCTTCTTTGGTAAGGGCAGAGTATTGGCCATGAAGATTTTTTTATCTTGTTATAGTACGTTGCATTTGCTTTTACTTTCTTTTTTAGTTTCTTTGTCGCTGCAGTAGGGGCATTATGTTTTTTTTGCACTTCTTCACCCACTTGAAAGTCACATTTAAATTTGTTGGCTTCCTTTATTACAGAATAAAGTTGTTTTGTTTTTATTTAATGTTCTTTGACAAAGATAATCATCCAGTCTTCTGTAGTTACCATGTCTCTTTGTAGATTGATTGTTGTTGTCTTGTAAGACAATCCTAGCTGAACTAATCGTCTGCCTCCATCGAATCTTGTCACATACAGACAAGTATCATCAGCCTTAGGATTATGAATGCAGAGGCAAATGAGAAGCCTTTTTATTTGCACGCCAATTCGCTTAATGTCAGTTTTCGTCCAATTAAGGATATTGAAACTGTATTCCACCATAAGGACAGTGAAAGTGTCTATAGCTGATATTCTGTTTTGTGAATTAAACTCTGCATTTACCACCAGACACATACGCCTGTAATATTCTTTTCTGACTTTCTCCGTCTTTTCTGTATGCTGTATTCCATCTCATTTGCTGGCTCCTCTATTGAGTATCATTCTGTAATTCTCCCTTTCTTGAATGTTATTTATCTTATGTTAAATCCATTCCGATGTCTTCAGTGAAACATTTTTACTATAACGAGTATACCTGTCAACTCATCGTTGTCTTTGGCAAATTGTTTGATATCATCCATGTAGAATTGCTGATTAAACACTTTCTTTTTTTGACTTTGTATCCATAGTTATTACTGTTTAGTTCATAAGAAAAAGGGATTAAGGACAGACAGAACAGAAGATGCGACAGGGTGTCTGTCTTGTTAAAAGAATTCTCGTTGGAAATTAAAACATTTGAAAATGACAGTACCTTTGATGGGATTTAGGTATGATGTGGTTTTCATATAGATGGATGCTATATTTAAGAGAATTTAATATAACTATAGACTTTGCAAATTTCCAAAGCTTGATGCATCCACGAGTATTGTTTATTATTATTATTATTATTATTATTATCATTCGATTTCTGCTATGGACACACTACCTACCAAGTCTGCGGAAAGACCTAAGGCAGGTCGTGTGTGTTGTTATGGCCACATTTCATGTTAATTTTTTTTTTTTTTTTTTTTTTTTTTATCTCCGATGAAGTTGCTAGCGTTACATAGACAAAGTTCTCCTTAGTGTGTGTGCTGTACTTAATAAGACAATTTTCTGTATGTCTCTTAAGCTGGGGTTTCAGGGATTCTTTCAATGTGTTGTTTTGTTCCATTTTTATAATTCCAAGTGCACCTATTACCACTGGTATTATTCTTGTTTTCAATTTCCACATTTTTTTCTATTTCAATTTCCAGGTCTTTGTATTTTGATAGTTTTTCAAATTCCTTGGTTGCTATGTTACAATCCGCTGGACAAGCCATATCAATTAGTAGGCAAGTTTTTTCTTTCTGGTTTTGACAATAATGTCCGGCCTATTTGCTTCAATTTTTCTGTCTGTGTGGATGGTATAATCCTACAGAATGGTGACATCTTCTATTTCTGTAACCGGCGCTGGCCGATGTTCATACCAGTGTTTGCTTACACATTTTCCAAAGTGTTTGCACATTGTCCAGTGTAAGTATTGCCCCACTCTATCGTGACGATTTTTATATTCATTTGGGGCAAGTATAGAACATCCTGAGATTAGATGGTCTATTGTTTCTTGGTATTTGTCACAGAACCTGCATTTTGGATCCACATTATTATGTATGATATTTGCCTGAAAATTCCTAGTGAAAAGACTCTGATCTTGCGCTGCAAGAATAAAGCCTTCAGTTTCAGACTTTAATCCAGATGCTCGTAACCATCGATGAGTATTAACTTTATCAACATTGGGTTTATTTGCACGTTCTGGATATTGGCCATGCAGAGGTTTGTCTTGCCAGCGTTGTTTCATCTGTTCAAGGGCTTTATCCTTGGCTTTCTTTTTCATATCTTTTGCTGCAATAGTTGGTTCTTGGCTTCTGTTTTGATTTACTACAGAATCTACTAAATGTAAATGTTGTTTGTATTTACTGCCTTCTTTTATTATTGAATATTTTTTCTTTCTGTTTTCATGTTGTTTCACTAATTTTATCATCCAGTCATTTGTTGTTTCCATGTAAGTTAGTAAGCCAATAGTTGTTGTCTTGTTATTATTATTATTATTATTATTATTATTATTATTAAATATATGATAAAACTTTCAAGAAAAGAAAATCCCTTTGGTGGGAATTGAATGTGTATATTAGTTTTGAAAAAAACATGCAACCTTCAATTTTTAAGTGACTTTTTAAAATTTAACTTTTTTTCTAATACATATATATATATATATATATGTGTGTGTGTGTGTGTGTGTGTGTGTGTGTGTGTGTTGTGAGACCGTAACATACCTACAACATGGACTCTTCCAGGACTATATAAAGTATGCGACATAACACTCTAGAGAGAGAAGAAGAAGAGGAGGAGAGAGAGACTATTCTAATACCGCAGTATCAGCCGCCTACGACTACCAATATTGGACACTAGCACATAGTAAGCTCCGCTTACACTTACACTATCTTTGTAACCTTTTTGTTTAATATATCTTTCTGATCTCTAATCCGTGTTCCGTGTTTTCCTTCCGTGGTCCCAACTTTGGGTCCACATCAATATGTATATGAAGAAATATACTCTTAAGGTGAGCTATATTTATAT